CCCCATCTCAGTCAGGTAACAAAGGAAGATACCAGTTTTTCTAGGGTTGTACCTCTAGCAGTTCTTCTGTCCTTCCCACCTTCTGCTGCCTAGCACAGGATGAAACCCTACAAGACCGTCCAAAGTTCTGTCTTTGATCTAGAACTGCATCCAAGACATGCTTTCCACCCAAACAGGATACCTCCATCTGTTAGGGATGTTCCTCTCATGTCCCTCAAGGGGGTGCTGTCTGGGATCTTCTGCACAGACAGCATGTTCCGTCTGGGGGGTGAAGTGCTCCACTTTTGCCCTCTCTGGCCAATCTAAAACTGCTGTGGGGAAGAGGGTATTGAGATATGGCTGCAACTGGGGAAATAGTGTGAAAAAGGCAGAGGAAAGAGACAGGGTGATACCCCAAAGGAGAGCATCGGTAAGAGAAATCAGAGTAATGTGATCTTAAATATTGGCAGTGGTGGGTGATTCAAGAGAGATTAATTTGATGGGGGGCAATGGCAGGTTAAGTAGTTTAAACATTAATCCCTGTGTTAACTAAAACCCCATGATGCCCCAATTCAGCAAAGCATTGAAGCACATGCTTAAATCCATCCCTGTTCAGCAAAGCACTTAAAGCATGCACAAAACTTTAAAGCAGGTGGTTATGGATCTAAGTACTTTTCTGAATTGGGGCCTCCTACAGGAAATGTATCTTTATAAATCCAAGTAAATTTTCCCCATTATTGCAGTTTTCTTCTTTGCACTTCCGCTATGACAGTGAAAATAGCTTGGTCAGTATCACTTCCTGGTTCCCCGGGAGTAGCCCTGACTCTTCGCAGGTGGGTTTCCTTGTTGTGGGGGGAGGAAACTTCATTCAAGTTCTGAAAATAAATAAATAAAATCTACCATTATAATTTTTTAAATCTAAATTTTGGAGCTAAACTACATGCCGTGCCCCTCTTCCCCTCTTAACAGTACAGGATTCTCATTTTAAAAAAAAATGTTGGGTGGAAAATTGCAAGGTGGTGGTGGGAAATTTGGGCTTGCCCATCTGCCTCTTCCCTCCACCTCCCCAGGTGCCAAGCTGAGACCCAAATCCTGCAGACTTACGCAAGTACTTAACTTTAAGCAGGCGAGTAGTTTCCCTGAGGTCTAAAGGTACTTGGGTGCTTCAAGCTAAGCATGTGCATAAGTCTTTGCAGGATCAGGGCCTTATTCTTTATCCCAGAGAGAGATTTTAATGTGATTTCTATAATGGTGATGGTCCTGATGCAACCCATGTACCCTCCCTACCCACCCCACACTTGGCATACAGGGTATGGCTACCCTCTAAGCTGGTTGTGTGATCCCAGCTCGAGGAGACATTTGCACTACTTCTTATTGAGCTAACGCACTAAAAACAGAGTGTAACTGTGGCAGTGCGAACTGCGGGACAGGCTAGCCGCTCTGGGGTCTCAGACGGGCATGTACTCGGGGCAACTAGCTCATCCTGCGGCTTGTGCCACTATGGCTGCATTCTATTTTTAGTATGCAAGCTCAGTGAGAGCTGGTGTAAGTATGTCCCCTCAAGCTGGGAATCACACACCTGGAGCCAACTGGAGACATACCCAGAGGGGGAGGTGGTGACTCTTTTTTAATTTAAAATAAACCTAAATATCTTGTAACTTTTTTATTTTGAAAAATGCATTTAATTAAAGAATCATGCACGAATGAATTGTATATCTATATATTTTTTTTGTCTTGTAATTTTCATTTTTAAATATAGTGTTTGCGTTTGTTTATTTTAATCCAGTTCCCAGCTGGCTAAACTCTGTCTAGAGTGGATGGATGGGATGCGGGGTGGGGCGATAGGATCCCCCTCCCCTTGGCATTTCCAGCGGAAAAATGGTTTGCTCTGGGTTTGGGGGCGGTTTGTGCTAATTACTCTTGTATTCTTGTACATTTTGTTCTTTCTGCTGCTCTTGAGTATTGTATCGATGCCAGAAATGGGGAGTTAAAGAAAATTATTAACCCCAATAAATTGTTACATTCCAAAACCTGTTGCCTGCCTTGTGTGTATGTGACTCACTGTGATTTTCAAAGGTGAGTGGTGATGTTTTAACCTGCCAAGAGAAGCAGTGTTCGCCCCATCACAAAGTTACTTACAACTAGCTTGGCCAAAGCACAGGAGAATATACTGCAGATAACAGTCTTGTCTAACGAGGAGTGTTGGAAAATGGACTAGAGGTCTTAACAGGTCTTTTGCCCTTTAATTTTTAAGTAATTGGGGACAGACTAGCAGAGCTGTTAACTTGGCTCTTTAGGTAGTTTCCATATTTAAAAACAAAACAAAACAGCAGCAAATACAAATGAAGAACAAAGCTA